ACAGCCAGACTGACAGACAGGAGCCTAGAAAGCTGGGTCCCTTGACCTCCTTTCTGCAGTCCCCTTCCTGCAGGACACGCATAGTCTGGCTCCCATTGCATTTGCCAGTCTTGTTACTCGTTGAATTAGTCCATTTTCATGCTGCTGATAAAGACATACCCAAGACTGGACAATTGACGAAAGAAAGAAGTTTAATGGACTCACAGTATCACGTGGCTGGGGAGGCCTCCTAAACATGGAAAGTGAAAGGCATGTCTCACATGGTAGCAGACAAGAGAAGAGGACTTGTGCAGGGAAACTCCCCTTTATAAAATCATCAGATATTGTTAAGACTTATTCACTACCATGAGAACAGCATGGGAAACGCAGCCCCATGATTCAGCTACCGCCCACCAGGTCACTCCCACCACATATAGGAATTGTGGGAGCTAAATTCAAAATGAGATTTGGGTGGGCACACAGCCAAGCCATATCACTCATTCCTTTGAGGAAAATCCTTTGTCCCTTTCAAGGTATCTCTCAGTAAATCTAATCAATAGACTTATGTAGACAGGCAGGAGGTGGGGAGGGGGCATGGAAGCTATTGTTTAATAATCACAGAGTTTCACTTTTGCAAGATGAAGAAAGTTCTATGGAGGAATGTTGGTGATAAGAGCACAACCATGTGAGTGTACTTAATACCACCCAATTGTACTCTTAAAAATGGTTAAGATGATCACCGGGCATGGTGGCTCACACCTGTAATCCCAGCACTTTGGGAGGCTGAGGCAGGCAGACCATGAGGTCAGGAGATCGAGACCATCCTGGCTAACACAGTGAAACCTCGTCTCTACTAAAAATACAAAAAAATTAGCAGGCATGGTGGTACGCATTGTAGTCCCAGCTACTCAGGAGGCTGAGGCAGGAGAATAGCTTGAACCCAGTAGGCAGAGGTTGCAGTGAGCCAAGATCTCACCACTGCATTCCAGCCTGGGTGACAGAGTAAGACTCTGTCTCAAAAAAAAAAAAAAAAATGGTTAAGATGGTGAATTTTATATTATGTGTATTTTGCCACAATTTTTTAAAACAATGTGTAGGCAGACTAATAGAAAAACGTGTCTGGATTGATGTTCTGGTCATGAAGTCTCAGGAGTGAAAGAGTTCTTGGAAAGCTTTCAGACCAAACCCCTCTGCATGCTCAAACCTTGGGCATAGGATTTGCAAGAAGTGGAACAGTCTCCAGGGGTGTGGAGCTCATCGCTCAAGGCAGGTTATCTTATCTTTGAATAATTTTGCCTGTTGACTATTGGGATAGTTCTTCAGATGAGCTGAAATTTTCCCCATAGCTTCCTCTGTTAAACCCAGTTTCACTTCTGAGGGTCACAAAAATAACCTAAATGTCCTCTCCCATGCAGAATGCATTCAATAAATATTTATTGTGCACATACCTAAGTACCACTATATGATCTTCTAAATTTTCTCTTTTCCGGTTAAAAATTCCAGAATCTGACAACTGTTTCATATATGACATGATTCAATGTCTCTTCACCTTCTGACTGCTCTTTTGAAATGATCAATATCCTCTTATCATAGGGCATCTAGAAATGAAAAGAGGCCAGGTACAGTGGCTCATCCCTGTAATCCCAGCACTTTAGGAGACCAAGGTGGGAGGGTCGCTTGAGGCCAGGAGTTCAAGATCAGCCCGGTCAACATAGTGAGGCACCATTTCTTTTCTTTTTTCTTTTCTTTTCTTTTCTTTCTTTCTTTCTTTCTTTCTTTCTTTTTTTTTTTTTTTTTTTTTTTTTGAGATGAAGTCTCACACTGTCACCGGGGCTGGAGTGCAATGGCGTAATCTTGGCAACCTCTGCCTTCTGGGTTCAAGTGATTCTCCTGCCTCAGCCTCCAGAGTAGCTGGGATTACAGGTGCCTGCCACCAAGCCTGGCTAATATGTTGGCCAGGCCAGCCTTGAACTCTTGACCTTATGATCCACCCACCTCAGCCTCCCAAAGTGCTGGGATTACAGGTGTGAGCAACCACGCCCAGCCCCAGCAAGACACCATTTCTCCAAAAAGCTTAAAAATTAGTTGGACATGGTGGTATTTGCCTCTAGTCCCAACCACTCTCCTGAGAGTCAGTATTGCTTGAGCCCAGAAGTTAAGGGTTCCAGTGAGCCATGATCATACCATGGCACTGCCACCTGGGTGACAGAGCAAGACCCTGTTTTAAAAAATAAAATAAAATGTTTTCATAAATAAAAATATTACAATAACCAATAGCTCCAAATGATTTCATCAAAAATGGAGGATTCTAATGGGATTTCCAGGCCCACAGGAGGACAGTGCCATGGTAAGCTGGTGAGAAAGATACTTGAAGGGCATGCTGACATATCATAAGGAAGGCTAAATTTGTCTTTCAGGTGCAAGACAAAAAACAGCATAAACTCACCCTTAAGTCTTAAGGATAGATACAAGATCTAGTCAGTCTTCAGTCTTAGCTCTAATTTATTCTGTCTCATCAGAACCTCATAAACAATCACCCCACTTTCCTTGAAGTTCAATGCTTTATTCCATGCAGTGCAGCACAGGACTGCATCTTGCTACTACATAAATACACATAATGTATGATTTCCTTCTTCAACTCTGGAACCTAAACAAATGGAATGTGTTCCCCCAATTCCATAAAACCGTAATTCTGTTGAGTGGCCCTGGCACTCCTAAAGAATTTCTTTCTAAATATAGAGAGGTATTCCTCTGCAGAAAAAATATCCCAGCATCTTGGTTCTAATATATAATTAACTCCCCTCTAGATACTTTGCAGTTACGTTTTATGGCTTATTTTGAGTGTTCATATTTTATCAGAAAATTATAATTTTCCTCTAAATAGGAGTTTTTACAAGGCTTTTGAATTCTGATGACTGGCTTCATGTTTCAGCTATAATTAAAACAGTGAAAAGAAATAGCGTCACCATGTATCACACGTGGTTCTGAGACTGCTTGGTCACCCAACCCCCTGTCTCCCCACACCCTGCAACCTATAGGCAGGGGACACTCTGACCAATGGTGGCGGCTCCATTTTTTACCGCTTAGTGGGACAACTGGTTTTAGAAAGAAACAGAATGGCCTGGGAAGAAGGGATGAGGAGACCGAAGTTCTCACCTCGGAGAAGGCTCCCCACCATGTTCCCCACCCATGTCCCTCCTTATCCTGTTTCCCTTCAGGAAAATATACTTTCTCCAAGAAATACACTTTCTCTCCAGGAAAATTCACTTTCCATCTAGTTGTTAGCTTATGAGTTTACCCTCTGCCTCCCCTCTAGACCACCTACTCCATGAAGGTCAAAGCAAAGTCTTTTTCATTCAACGTGGTATAGAAAACTTCTTGAACCTTATATGAGTTTACTAGGCTACTATACCAGCCAACCATAGACTGGGTGTTTAAACAATAGAAATGGATTTTCCCGCAGTGCTGGAGACCGGAAGCCTGAAGTCAAGGTGTCAGCAGCGCTGGTTTCTCCTGAGGCCTCTCTTTGGCTTGTACATGGCTGTCTTCTGCCTGTATCCTCACATGGTCTTCCTTCTGTGTGTGTCTGTGTCCTAATCTCCTCTTCCAAAAAGTACACCAGTCATGTTGGATCAGGGACCATCCTAATGACCTCATTTTACCTTAATTACCTATTTTTTTGAGATGGATTCTCACTCTGTAGCCCAGGCTGGAGTGCAGTGGTGCAATCTCAGCTCACTGCAACCTCTGCCTCCCAGGTTTGAGCAATTCTTCCTGCCTAAGCCTCCTAAGTAGCTGGGATTACAGGTGTGCAACAGCACGCTCGGCTAATGTTTGTATTTTTAGTACAGGGGTTTTGCCATGTTGGCCACACTGGTCTCGAACTCCTGACCTCAGGTGATCTGCTTGCCTCAGCCTCCCAAAGTGCTGGGATTACATGGGTGAACCATCGCGCCCAGCCTTAATTATCTCTTCAAAGACCATATCTCCAAATCAGCCATCCCTCAGTATCTTGTGGGTTTGGTTCCACGACCCGCCCTTGCTCAGGACACCATAATCTGTGGATGCTTAAGTTTCCAGTATAAAATGGCATAGTATATAACCTGTGCACATCCTTCTCTATGCTTTAAATCAGCTGTAGATTACTTATAATACCTAATACAATGCCTATGCATCAGTTCATTTACATGGATTCAGTGTAGTTCTCTGTACAGGGGAACTTCAAGTTTTGATTTTCAGAACTTGATGGAATTTTTTCTGCATATTTTTGATCCATGACTGGTTGAATCCACAGATGCAGATCGCCCAGATATAGAAGGTCGACTGCACAGTCACATTCTGAGGTTCTTGGGGTCAGGATTTAAACCTATGAAGTTTGGGGTTGGGGAGCCGAATTCAGCCCATAACACAATATTAAGCTGTCAACTGATGTTTGCTGACTGAGAAAAGAATGAATGATCGATAGAACATTATGGCAGGCATGCTCTTGGAAGCAGCTCTCCTGACACACGCTTCTAAGCCCTCTCCTTTTTCCCCCTTCCCCCTCCCTCCACCCATACAGCAAGGGCCCAGATGAGTGAGTCTCTCAACTCCAGACACATCCTAACCAATTCAGTCACACAAAACTCTGTGCCACCAAGTTCAGACATGAAACTAATTCCCAGGAAAGACTAGGCCATCTCCAGGAAGCCTGCCTTGTTTATCTGTAGAGAATCCCCGCTCAGTAGGGGGACTGCAGAACACACACACAGAAGTCATTGGATTGTCTTTACAATGGTGACTGCATCATAGTGGGGTACAACTGAGCTTCCAGAGCTTGCCCTTCTGCTCCCTCTGGTCTCTGGCCATGGATCTTCCTATCGTGGCCTGCAAGCCTTTCTATTCTTCCTCTATATCCTTGCAAGAGAAACCTCCTAACTTGTTGGTTATTGATGTACTTTAACCAGGGTGTCATGGACCTGTATTGTCACCAAGGTGGCTTTGCTCTGAGTCCTGACCCTCTGCTTGCTACTTCCCAACAGGCATCGGGTTTGGAGTTCAAGTCTGTAGCCGACAGTGTTCTGTTTTTACGTGACAAAAGGTGGGAAGAGGTCAGAGGTGCCCTGATGTCTGTTTTCAGTCCTGAAAAGCTGAACAAGGTAAGACATGAGGAATTCAAACTTTCTTCTCTTATGGAGCAGGTGTCTTCTCTCCAAATCGTGATGGAGAGCCAGTTCATGTTGCATCACTTGCCCAGGTGACACATCAAAAGACCTTGCCCACTGCGACCTTCAGGCCTCTCTATTATGCAGAAAGCACTGGACGCTGTGCTGAGTGTCTTTCGTTTCTCCAGCCTCCCACATCCCCAGTCGCCATAAATGAATTGCGAATCAACAAGTACACAGGGCATTCGTCTGTGTCCAAAGACAGAGCTGGAGGCGCTTCGGGGACTCCAGGAGAAAACTGTAACAGTGTCTGGCAGATTTTCATGTATAATGGATCACCTGGGGATCTGGCTACAATGTAGACTTTGATTCAATAGGGCCAGGTTGGCCTGAGAATCTGCATTTACAACACCCTGTCAGATAATTTCGTTGTTTCCAGGCAATGAACCACACTTTACATAGCAAGAAACTAGAGAACAGCATGAAACAAAGGTGGGCTACCAATCGAGTCTTAAATAGGGAGGATGATGGCAGAGAATGACTGAGGAGGAGTGGGCGATCATGGCAGGCAGGAACACCCAAGTTCAAGGAAAGGCCAAGTTCAAGGGAAGGGCAGGCTCCACAAGATGCTGCCAGCTCTCTAAGGCCCTGGACACTCTCCTTTCCCTACTCAATGACCCACTCTTCTCTATCAGCTGTGCACCCAAAACCTGGTGTTTGTATGGCCTCCAGACCAGTTTCTCACACACCAGATCCTGACTGCTGTGTTTCGTATCTCAGCCTGACAGCCCCCTCCATTGCTGGTCTGCCTTTGGTGTTTGCTGGGCGAGAGAACTTGAGCCCTTCTGATGTGAAGTGATTAGGGGGCTTCTTCAGTTCCAGTCTCAGGTACACAGACATCTCTAGAGCAAGGGAGCTTCCAAAGCTTGGCTGGGGTGCCCTGGGCTTCTGCCATCCACCTTGTCTGGATGTTCCAGAGTAGCCTGTCTTCAGTTCAATAAATGAAAGCTACTTTTAGCTTAAGCTCAAGATGCTCACCCATATGGTCCTGACTGAATTCCTATAAATCTTCCGAAGTCCCCCAGAAGAGGAGGGGGTTCCACACCTCATACTATCCAATTAGACTCACTCAGAAACTGGTGATCCCTCCCATTTCCAATGAGGTTTTGATTCACATTTCCATGGGTAGCCGTTGGTGTTTGAGGGCAGAGCCTGTCTCTGTTTGCAGCTGCAGCTCACACTCACACAGCTCAGTGAGGTTCCAAGGGTTGCCTATTTAGATTAGCACACTGTTTCTTCACCACATTCCTGCAAGATAAATACTATCATCCCTTATTATTACAATCTCATTTTGCAGAGGAGGAAACTAGGCACAGAGAGATTAAGTAGTGGGCTCCAAGTCTTGTAGCTAGTAAGCGGCAGAGCCAAAATTAGAATCCAGCTCCAGTGCGCTCTTCACGTCTCTGTCTCACTGCTTGTTACCTACATATGATTTTCCAGTGGTGCTCAGAGGCCACCTAGGATTGTCCGGAGGGTGCAGGAAGGGGAAGTGCAGCAAATGGGGCCTCGGTGGAAAGCTGGTGGTGGGTCAGAAGCAACACTTCTCTATTTTCTGCCTAAGTTTGGAACCAGCTGAGGTATGGAAACAGGTTTTAGGCAAGGGAAATATATTTTCTCTTTTCTTACTGGGAAAGCAGTTTGAAAAATAGAGCCCACATCTGATCACATGGGCTTACTATGCTAATACTTCACTAGAATGGGACCATTGCAGGAGGGTGGCAGATGCCATCGGGGCTGGCCCATGGCCCACACATGCTCAGTTTCTTCCTCCCAGACTGGCTGTGATACAGCGAAGACAACAGGAGACGGACAGTGACTCAGAAGCAGCCGTCAGCAACTGCGGCCCGCTGGGATCACCTGGGGCAGGCTTTGAAAACTGTTGCTGCCTGGGTCCCACACCTAGAAATTCTGATTCAGTTGGTTTGCTCTGGGGTGCAGCCTGGGTTTGAGGACTTTTCTTCAGGCTCCCCAGGTGACTGTATGTAAAGCCAGTATTGGGAACCACTGCTAGTAGAAGTTTGCCACAAGGACACGCGAGGAGGCGGGCACTTCCATTGCGACAGTGAGCTCTGCTCACATGGATCTGTGTTATCCATTGAGGACTCACGGGAGACTGTGAAGGAAGGGGCTGCTTCCGAAAGTTAGAAACCACTGCTCTAAACCATCCAGACAAGCGGCGTGGAGTGTGCCCCTTTATCACATCCAGCCACTAAAAGGTTGAGTTAGCCCAGAGAAGGGAGGAAAAAGTCGACGAACCTATGGCTGGTGTCACTAGTGGGTATATGTCTTTATTCAAAAGCAATGGCTTCCCAGCACTGTAGACGCAGAAGGAACCTCATGTGTGACAAAGAAATTGGTGAAGAGTATCTGAGAAAAGAAGAAAAGAGAAAGAAAGAAAAGTAAGCAAGGAAAGGAAACTAAGGTTTAGCAGTCCTGGGCTGTGGTTCTTTGATAGGGGATTTTATCATGGTCTAGATTCCTTTAACCTCTTACAGGGGATACTCCAGAAAGTGATTCACTGTTGTTTCCCAAACAAATTCAGTGCTCTTGGGGTCCAGTCGTCTCCCTGTAGTCCAGAAATCAAATGCATAGTGCCTGAATTAATTGCAGAAAATAGAGTTTCTCAATATATCCACAGCATTAAGATGCCGAGAGAAGCCAGACATAGTGGCTCACGCCTGTAATCCCAGCACTTTGGGAGGCAGAGGTGGGAGGATCACCTGAGGTCAGCAGTTTGAGGCTAGCCTGACCATCATGGTGAAACCCCTTCTTTACTAAAACTACAAAAAGTAGCTGAGAATGGTGGTACACACCTGTAACCCCAGCTACTTAGGAGGCAGAGGCAAGGAGAATCACTTGAACCCAGGAGGCAGAGGTTGCAGTGGCCAAGATCACACCATTGCACTCCAGGCCTCATCTCACAAAAAAAAAAAAAAAAAAAAAAAAAAAAAAAAAAAGATGACAAGAGGTAAGAGAGAGATTTCATAGACCCCATTATTTACCATACACTATCAATAAACTTGAAATTCCATTGAAAGATATTTTTTTCTACTCCATATAGTTCAATTTAGGTTCTTGGGTTTCCATTTGAAAGAATTCCATCCCAGAGGCAGTAGTAGTTAACTTTTTCCCCACCTCTGGAGATTTTAGACCTGGCAAGTTGAAATTTACTGGGAGACCCCTAAGAAGAGCCTTCAAGACAAAGATGGCACTGCAGATGGAGCTCAGGTAGGAGCGGGGAGAAAGATGGTCTTCAAAACACAGACACGTGCAGCATATGTGTTAGATATGGTTCTGAGGAGAACCATACTTAAGGGAGGAGCAGAGGAGAAACCTATAAAGAAGACTCAGGAAGAGCAGCCTGAAATGGAAACCAGCAGAATGTGGAAGGGGAAAGCATTTCAAAGAGGAAGGAGCAGCCAGAGGTGTTAAATGCTGCTCACATGGAAAGAAACACAAGGACGAAAAAGTGCACAGCAAAGATAATATTTCTGAAATGCGAAACCAATGTATGTCTCTTTCATGCTCCATAGATCGTGTTCCCTGTCATTTTCCCTCACCCACGGAATCACTGGCACCCACTGCTCCTGACGGTGCCTCCAAGTAAGATAGTAGATGCTATCCGGAACAAGGAACTAGTTGCTCAATTTTGAACTGTACGTTAGCAAGCTTTATTAGGAGAGGAAAGAGTTTTCCAAATCCAAAAGCAGCTTCCCTTTGCAGATGACGAGCAGGGGGTTTGAAGCTCTAAACCAGATGCAGGAAATGACAAGGGGGGGCTGCTTCTGGACCGTGGAAGATGGGTGGAGGGGACAAAATGAGGAGTGTCCTATCTTCCCCAAAACCTCCTGGTTTCTGGATGCTTCCTCAACCTTTAATCTCCTAGCTGCCTTTGTTCGCTAGGTCACTGGTTCTTAAACCTTGTGGGACCAAGGGCTACATGAGAATCACCTAGGACCCTTGATAAAAATACATAATTCCAGCCACTGCAAGATTTAGAGAATCAGAATTTCTAAGGGTAACTGAGAATTCACGTCACGAGGTCCCTAGAGAGACTGCACTGAGAGCCAGAGTGGAAAGCCTTGGTGCTGTGAGTGTTGGTGCTGGTCCCCTCCCCAACAGTCTCAGACTGACTGCATCTCCAGGCTCGAAGGACCTGGCCACAGAACCCTCACCTCCTCACTGCTTTCCTTTTCTCTGTGGAACTGTCACCAGCTAGCATCCCATTTTGTTTACCTTTTTATTGTATGTCTCCTTCTGCTAGATGGATGCTTCAGGAGGACAAAGGCTTTTTTCTTTTTTCTTATGTTCTTTATTGTTAACTGCACACACTAGGTACATAATAGACATTCGGGAACAATTAATGAATGGATGGATAAGGAATCAAAGAACCAAGAAGCTTGCTACCTATTCTACCTAAGGATACATGATGAAACTAAGCTAAAAAAAAAAAAATTTAAATGAAAATAATTTTATCAAGAAAAAATTAAGTAAGAGGCTATAGCAAGCTGGCTTTTCCTTTTGAGAGTCACAGATATATATACACATTCACAAAGTCACAGACACAAAGAGGAAAATGAGTCACAGAGACAGAAGATAGCTCAGAACTCTGAGCCACAGATAATCAGCTGTGGGTACCAGAGTCAGTTTTCCTGGAAATAGCTTTGAAATACTAGTATCTCTAGTCCTGTCCGAATTTGTTAAGTAGCCTTTAGACTTTCGTTATCAAACATCAGAGTTTATTCTTGAAATAAAGGTTTGTTTTCCCTTGGAATTCCGAGGCTTTCTCCTTTAGAACCTTGGCAGCCTAAGTCCCTCTCTACGTGAGTCCTTAAGTTAATATTCGAAAGTTCTGGATGGTGTTGTCTTCATTTATGTGGATGTTAGGTTGTCTCAGTCAGCAACGCTTGAAGCTTGCTTTAAAATCAGCCTCA